TCTCTCTCTCTACTACACACACACACACACACACACACACACACACACACACACACACACACACACACACACACACACGTATGGGGACAAGACTACTGGATTTCATTTGTAGTATTTAGCTATTCAGAATGTGCATGCATATCAAATCCATGTATTGTGGATTCTTACAGAAAAATAAGTAAGAAAGATTGAAAAAAAAAAACAACCACCCCTCACTTGATGTTTGAAGACTTAACTTACCCACAGAAAACCATGCTCCGTGGAACAGGAATCTGACTCAGTTTCGCTACAGAGGTAAGGGTCAGGATTATAAGTAGCACATTCAATCTTGAAAGAAAGAATGAAAAATGATTCATATTTACAATGAAGCAGATACATCTGTCCTTTCTGAAGGCCCCATGTCAACTAAGCATTTTAAGCATATATTTAAATTCATCCTAATTCAGCAAAGCACTTAAGCACCACACTAAATGCTTTGCGGAATTGGGACCCTTATGAGGAGTAATGGATTTACATCCTCGTTTAACAGCACTGGAACTGCTCTTTAAAGTTTAGATATACATTTTAAAATGTGTTTAATTAATACAAACTAACATTTACACATATCACATCATAGTCAATTAAGGAAAAATGTATTTTCTGAAGGCATTAAATAAGGAATTATACTTTTCAGATAGTCTCCATCTGAAATGTTCACTAATGCTCTTCTCTCTAATAAAGAAAAAGTTGTGCAGTTTGCTATTGCTGTTGCAATGTTACAGGAAAAAACTCAAGATAAAATTGGGGAATTTAAAAACTAAGAAATAAGGCTATTTTAAAATGTATTCATATAGAGCACTATCTACTCAGTAAGGAAGACTGTAAAAATGGGTTCATAAATTAGCCTCCTAAAAATCCTACCTTAAGTACATATGTAAAAAAAGTTGATTTTAAAAACTGCAGAGCACCCAGCAACCCCCCCTGAAGTCAATAGTTATTGCCGAGTGCGCAGCACTTTTGAAAATAAGGTTACCTATTCTAGGTGTCCACGTCAGGATTTATGCATAGTTTTCTCAAAGGCAAGCTTTATTATCTGCTTTCTCCATCAAACCAACATCTGTTTGCATGGCGGCCCATTAAAAGAGTAGAAGGCGGCCACTGAGAGATCAAAGAAAACAAGAGCTCTCCAAGTCCAGTTCTGCGCATTGCTCGCTGACACATGCTGAAACTGCAAACCCCAGTAAAGTGTATTCTAGTTGCTGTGATGGC